AATTGAAATAATTTTTCAACTATTAATAGTTGAATTCAACTTTTGACTCCTGCACGTATGTACCAATTGGGATTAGTGTGAGAAACGAGGCACTATGTCTTCATAGACACGGCAAGGGAGTGACAATAGCTTCTTGTTGACACGCCCGGGCGTGGCAATAGCTCCTTGTTGACACGCCCAGCGAGTGGCAATAGCTCCTTGTTGATACGCCCAGGGAGTGGCAATAGCTCCTTGTTGACACGCCCAGCGAGTGGCAATAGCTCCTTGTTGACACGCCCAGGGAGTGGCAATAGCTCCTTGTTGACACGCCCAGGGAGTGGCAATAGCTCCTTGTTGACACGCCCAGGGAGTGGCAATAGCTCCTTGTTGATACGCCCAGGGAGTGGCAATAGCTCCTTGTTGACACGCCCGGGCGTGGCAATAGCCATTCTGAAAAATTAATTACTTAAAAAAATATTGTTAAATTTTTGAACAAGGGATTATTATTAAAATAATTTATTATTTACTTATTTGTAAAATAGCAAAGCAACGAAAAGATTCAAGCAATACCTCATCTGACAGAGAATTTCACGGGCTACAATATGGACTACCTTAAACTTTTTAGAATTCGTTTTTGGTCGCTCGGTAAGTCTGGTAAGTCAAAAATTTAACAATATTGTTTAAGTAATTAATTTTTTTCTCAGCCAAATAATTTCATTAAGCCGAAAAAACTTTCGAACATACACTTCGAACTGTCCTCTACAAACCGGGAAGGCTTGAAGAAAAAATTCAAAACTTGAAAATATCGCTGGTTTTTGGCTCACCGAAGATTTTCTTACCTCACCTTACGGCTAGTTTCACCGGAACCAAGCATTTTGGAGCAAAACTCTGAGTGCAAAAGTTGTTCAGAATCGAATTTTGGAGTCCCCAACGAGAGCTTTTCTTTAAATTTTCTGTTTCTGACTTTTAAATTAAATTTTAGGGTTTTTAAAATTTTAAAATTTTCTATTTTTTAATTTAAAAATCAAAAAACAAATTTTAAAAAAGCTCTCGTCGGAGACTCCAAAATTCGATTCTGAACAACTTTTTCACTCAGAATTTTGCTTCGAAATGCTTGCTTCGAGCGAAACTAGTCGTAAAGCGAGGTGAAAAATACTTTTAACTCTGAAGTTTCCTCGAGAAGACGAACGCTAAATTTCTGCGGCAAACTTCATTCAGGAACGATGAAAAGGGTTTCTCCGTATACAAATTAATGTTCTGTATCCAACTACGCTGGAATCAACTCTTCATATCAAAAAATGAAGTTTTTATTGAAGTTTTCAAAATAGAGCAAAAAACCCGAAAAAAACTTAAAAATTTTTTTTATCAAAAACTATAAATCGGGGAACAGAAAGCTTTGTTGGAACATATTATATGTCCCAACAAAGCTTTCTGTTCCTTTGTTGGAACATATTATATGTCCCAACAAAGCTTTCTGTTCCTTTGTTGGAACATATTATATGTCCCAACAAAGCTTTGTGTGCCCAATCCTTTTTTTCCAGCTTTTTGTGGAGTACACTTCGTATTATATGTAAAATAAACCCCTATGTGTCCTCCACAAACTGCTGGAAAAAACGGGTGGGGGACCCATCATGATAAACAATTATATAGTGAAGGTTGAAAAACTGAATATGTTTGGGAATGACGTGCAATAATAGCGCATGTGTTTGAGTCATAGTTTGACTTCAATCGTTAGAAATAAAAACGACATTTATCTGCTCTAGGATGTATTTTGAAGTTAATCAAAAACACAACTGTATTAATAAATGATTTACTGATGCATTAAACAAATAAATTGAAATCATTATATAAGTTTATGCATTTTTAGTTTACCTTACGCAAGTAAGAGGTGTCAGTAGTAGAGATCTGCATGAGTACGGAAATTCCCGCGGTCGCGGGCATGCCCGTACTGCCCGCGGATATGGACGGGCACGGGCAGGCTCGAAAAAAAGACACGGACAGGCAACTGCTCTCTTCGACGGGCACAGGTTTTTCAAAGAAATGCCATCCCGCTATGGTACAATAGAGGAAAAAAAATATTTTTCTTTGCATGGGCACGGCCAGAGTCGTAAATTGCGAGTATGTGTGCTAAATCACTAAATCTACAATTCTGTACTTTCTGAATAACGCGAAAGAATAAGAGTCCACTAGAAAAGTCGTATAGACTCCATAGTTACAAACTTGAGAACAACAATAGTTCTGTTTCAGCCCTTCTTAATTATTCAGAATTTTCAGGTAACGGCTGAGTATCGAGTGCAATCGCTCGATAGTGTTTTCTTTTCTTTTCTTCTTTCTGTATACATAGAATTAGCCAAGCGTAACTTTAGCATACGCATAGTTCATTAGTAATAGAACAGCATATTAGTATACCTAGAGAACATGATGATGAAAAAGTATTGTTTTTAGCCTTATTCGTGTACATATATTATTAGATTAGGCTGAAATGTCACCACTACTCGAATATTCATAAAATGATGACATCTAATCGTTCACGATATTATATGGGTCGTCGTATTGCGACTGTCATTTCTCATGAAGAAGCTGGATGGTTGTGTCGACGCGAACGTTCTGTCGAAGAGCAGCCCAATCTTCTACTTGATTATCTCGAACTAGTGCCTGGTATGGTTGTCGCTGATATCGGCGCTGGCCTCGGCTATTTAAGTGTCAGAATTGCCAGTAGAATTACACCCAGTGGAATTGTTTATGCTACTGATGTTCAACCCCAAATGGTGCATACAATTGTCTATAACGCAAAACGTCTTGGTCTTCCCAATATTAAGCCTGTTCTAAGTACACCAAATAATCTAAATCTACCAGTGAATTTATTTGATCTCATTCTCATGGTTGATGTATATCATGAATGTTCAAATCCACCTGCCATTTTGCATGGAATTCGAAAAGCATTAAAACCGAATGGTAAATTAGTGTTAGTTGAATATCGAGCCGAAGATCCATTAGTACCAATAGCGATTGATCATAAAATGACTGTGGGACAGGTACGTTTAGAATTAGAATCAAATGGTTTTCGATTTATCCGCACTTTAGAATTTTTACCATGGCAACATGTTATTGTTTTCAAGAAGAGAACGAATTTGTCGATGAGAAAACTGCTCCGCTGTGTTACCGACCTAATACCATCTAGTTATTAAACGTGTTCGCTCTCTCTGTAAAGTCTCTCTGTAAAGTTGCCAGGTATAGCCAGAAAGGTAAGCTCACTCTATCCCTCTGTAATCTTTTTATTTGATTGTACTGTACAAGTACAAGAATGGAAGAACGAAAAAAAAGAGTAATAAAGTGAAAGGAAATTTCCAAATAATTGTAAGGAGGAATAAGAAGGGAATCCAGAAATGGAAAGTGTGAGAGGTGAATTTTGACAAGCGAATAAATGTCTCTTATAATAGGCTATTCATAACGCACGATACTTGAGCTGTATGAAGAGAAAGAGTTAGAGACTCCGATCGCAAAGTTTTTTTGTTAGAAACTCATCATTTGGGATCAATATCATCCTCCATAAGGTTCATCTGGGTCCCATGCTCTGAAGTTGAGATTCAGCATACCCAAAAATCCTGGCTACGTGCCTGCTTCCTTACGCCACTTCTTCCAACTTTTGGCTGACTCAACTTTACTGTCTGCTTTTTTTAACTGAAAAGCTTGATTTCTTTTGCGCCTTAAGGGTCCCCCTCAGAAAAGATCTTTTTTATCTTACATCCGATTTTGATCAAACTTTCAGTAAATATTTGCCATATCAAAGTGTGGTTATGAAATTCTTTTTAGCTCGCTATCTCTTACCATTTCGGGGTTTTCCAGAGTCCAAGGTCAAAAAACACCCTCTGGTGTGGAACCCTTTTTTTAAATATATTTCAAGCTAGAGATCTCGAGTTGGTTTTATTTTAAACTAGACACCTAACTGCGGGAGGTGCTGGGATCCGATTTTTGAATTAGGCTTTCCTTTTCTAGAAAATCAAGAATCTCTGGAAACCCCGTAAACATTTTTCGGGTTTTTGAGAATCTTCGATCTCTAGAAAACTAACGAAGACCTAAATCAAAAATCGGATCCCAGCACCTCCCGCAGTTAGGTGTCTAGTTTAAAATAAAACCAACTCG